TCTAAAGAGGGGATGATTTTTTTCAATTCTGATGGATAGATGTCTGTAGAATCAATCCTCTACCATTCTGAATTTCGTTAAATCATAGTGTGGAAGGTGTGCCGATCTGGAGAAAGTGTGCTGTCCATTTGTAATAATATGATAACACATTCCACGCATGAATTACAGAGTATTGGAGTGGAAGCAAAGAATTGAGTGGAAATCAGATACGATTTTCGTGAAAGTGTTGTTGAACATTTAGAAGAACATTTTTGTTAAATTAGTTTAGGATATATGTATTGCAGGCAGCATGCGGTTATATGACCTTTTATAATCGTGGATTGAAATAAAATGGTATTAACTTAGGACGCCTGTAATATAGGGGGCAAATATATATCCTTAAAATCAAAGGGTGTAAGAGTGACCTACTTCCAAGGGGTGCACCCCAATGCATGCTATATTCCACCACTTCTACAGTACATAACTTACAACACCGTTTTCTCTGCGTTTGTGTCTGATTGACTTTGCTGAGTTATGAATATATACCAAACACGATTGCCTAACAAAAAACCTTCAAAGATAAAGAGAATACACTCAATCCACTTGCCTCCTGTATGACCCCATGTGACCTAAAGGATAGAATGGAGAAGACTCGCCTTAATAGGTGTCCAGCACTAAAGACACCATCAGAAATCCAAGGATACTGGGAAGCCAAAATGCAACTGATGAACTACTGATCCTCCAAACCCTCCCCTTTTGTGAAAGCCAAAAGCAACTATGGGGCAACTATTATGGTAAATATCATAATGACAACAATTTGAAAATTGATTTTTTTACATGTATTAATGCATGGTTCGTAAAGTCAACCTGAATTTATTTAGAAAAATTTTTTGACACAATGGATTTTACTTCAAATAATAACACATTAACACAGATTTAAACAATTTACGAATTTAAAGAAAAAAATTTTAAAGAAGACAATTTAGCGTTATGATGGCATGAAAATGATCTGTTTAATATTCTGACATTGTCAGTTTAATAATTTCTATAGCATTTTCCAATCACTGTAATTATTTGAAAATCCACTGTATAACTCCAAGAAAAACTGAATAAAATAAAGAACAAAAATATGTAGTGAATAATTAATAAATAGTCTATGAATAATTGAAAGTGATTGCAAAACGAGTAACTTGCTTGTAAATATGCATCCAGTTGTGTCTCCCGCTTTGAAAACAAATAAATAAATTGAAGGTAACATAGTTTAAAACGAGTGTAAATTAATTTTATTTGAATTGCATCATTGATTTCATTCTCATTAAACAGGTGGAGCAACTAATCAATAGGTACAAAGAAAGATTTCATGAAATTGATTACGACGTTTAAGTTTTAATAACTACTCTTCTTATGAAAAAAAACTTTTATGGACAAAACACTTTCTTTAAAGTCATTGATGTAACATGACAATTTCATATCAATTTGTCAAATACGCATGTCATGAGGGATACAAATACAGTCTTACCACCACTTGTTGTTGGGAAAATGGTGAAGCACTCTGAAAATGTCAAAATCCTTATGATTAACCAAGTATTGTATCAGATACGAAACGTTCAATATAAATCATGGTAACATTTTAAATCAGTCTTAAATATTCCCAATTATAAAAATAAAAAATTATTATTAAAGGTTGATTTTCCAGATGTGACCATTATTTAAGCGAAGTGATCATTGTCTTCTTTAGAGAAACATAAATTGTATCGGCCCTAATAGTCTAATGATAAATAAGTAAAAATCTTGTTTGTTCAAGAATTAACCATTATTCAAACGAATTGATCACTTTGATATAAACAGATTAATTAATTCATTAATTAGCGTTTACTGCACTCATATACACAACATAACATTGAGTTCCAATTTAGAATGCTTTAAATATTAGTAAGCAATTCAAATTCAATTTGTTTAAAAATAAATTTTTTAAGCGACGCACGTGTTGTTGATGTTGATGATGTTGTTGTTGTTGAAACATAAGCATATTCTATTTAAAACATTAAAAAAATAAAGATAACAAAAAAGTATTATTGTGAAATAATGGAAACCCACTTTGGCATTCTTTTATATCAATGGACGTGCCTGAAACATTCAGATATTCATCAGTTTGAAAACAATAACCATGAAATGAATGATGCATTTAAATTAAGTAATACCTAACTGCATCCAGTAGATAGAAACTCCTATTTTTGAGCTTCCAGCTTCAATAACAAAATTGGTGGTTAATTCGTTGTTATATCGTGAATACGCATAGGTGTAATCAAGTTGATCTTGTTCTTTGTTTACGGTTAGGTCCTCTGTTGATTTAAGAAAAAAACGAAATTACGTTCATTGAATCATTGTAGTGCATTCAATGCAATTCCACATTGTTTACCACAATCCGTAGGGTTACGAGTTGGAACCAAAGACTTTCCATTCCATGTACATTTTACCACGTCCTCTCTTAACAAACGGATCTTGAATGGTTTAATTATAGGGGTTAATTAAAAATAAAAAATATTATTTAATTTATATCATGCAAAATTGAGCGCTTGTTAAAATTGACCGTACATTATTATTTTCAAATTTATTATAACATGAATTTATATCTTATTTCAAAAATGAATGACCTGTGATTGAGTGTTCGATCCTTTCACTGAAAAGCTAACATTGACAGCACTATTGCCTAATTCATATCTTGCAAACGGAAACGAATTGCGCGGAATTAATTCACCTAAATTGAGAAAAAAATTCTATCAAATGTTTAATGTAATGGCTGTTAATTGTATTTCACAATGGGCGATAAAGTAAGTGTATTTCTAACCCTGTTTAGCAGGTCTGAATTCACACATTGGGGCAAAAGTCACAGCACAAGTGCACCCGGTTCCAGTAACAATCAGTGTTTCGAATTCTGTAGCATTATTGATTGTGATGATGACAAATTCTAATTAAAAATACAATTACATATTTTGAGTTTAAACTGAATATTTCTACCAGATCCGACATTACAAGGTTGCCCAATCACTTTGCTATCCATTTTGCACATACCATCTTCAATTGAAATGGGAATTTCATCTGCAGTAAGTTTCTGTAAGTTCCAATACATTTAGAGCCAAAATGAATAGACATTTCTTACTTGAAATTTTCCAACAAAAAATTGTAAGGGATCTGTTTTGCCACTTGGCCTTGTGACGACTCTTGAACAAAGTACGTCTGACCTTTTAGTACACTCTCCTTCATAACGGGCATTTATTTGCAAAGAAGTTAAAATTAAAATTATAAAGATCATTTTCTATTTGGTGTTTCAAAGTTTGTCTTAGTTTTATATGCACCGATTCCATTCATACCATTGGTCAGTGATTTTATGATTCAATGTATAAATAAATTCGAATAATTTTATTGGTTTTTATTTACCGAAGGTCACCAAAATCAATGCTCAACTTTATTATCTTAATAGGATTCGATATATGGCAAAAATTTACTTCAATTTGCTTTCGAATGCAACAATTTTGACAGCGAATATAATTCAACTCAATTTGAGTTTAATTATCAATTATGCTTTGTGAAGTAAATTTTGAAAAATTGAGCGAGGCTTAGTGCTTAGGCAAATTTGATTTGAGAAATTGTTTTTCTTTCGTATTTTCAAATAAAGCTTAAATATTATGATTTCACGATTTATTTCAGCATTTCGGACTAAAAATACAAATGAAAAATTGTATAAGAAGCATAATGTGGTTGCTTTGGTTTAGAAAGTAGAATGACTTTGGTCATTTTTCGAACTAATGAGAATATCTCGAAGCGTGATCTATGAAAACCGATTTGTTAAATATTGGAATAGAATTAAAATTACATTTTCCCTTGATTATTTTGATTCGACAACTAGTTCTAGAATTTTTGATATAGTTGTGAGCGAAAATAAGTAGAAACTTGTAAAAAACGATTTGATGCAAATTAAATTATTCAAATTGGTTATTTAAGCGATTTTTAAATATTTAATTCCCTTTCTAAAACACCTATTTTAGCTATTAAAATTTATGTTATAACAATAAACATTTAGATTTACCAAAGGAATAATATTTAAAGTGTTTTTCGAATAATAAAAATTCTATCTCTTAAGCATTTCGAAGCTAATAATCTGCAAGTGTCCGCATAAATGATAAATTTATTATGAGTTTCGATCCAACTGTGCTGCTTATTTTGCAGTAGAAAAGTATCAATAACTAATAATTGCCAACTTCTCTCAGTAATAAAATTAACGTGCAATAAATATATTTGTTTCATCTGCAAAGAGTGCTATTTATGTACACTCGTAGTTCTAGTTATTTTTGGGATGAAGCGCTGTGTTGAGACCAAAACTCTCATAGCCAACGAGCAATCAATTAGATTTATGAAATCGTCTTCCACTCGATAGACTTACCTCCACGTAGTGCACCCTGGACAACGTATCTTCATGCGGGGAAAGTTAATAACGCAGCAGTTTGACTTCTTTTTATTATGATTATCTTGAAACAAAGCTATTAAAGAAATTGTCCTCTTCAAGGCGATTCACAACGTCTACAGATCCTCCACCGGATTGCTGGAGGAATGCCACAGGACAAAAAGATCCAAGTACAGAAAATCCTACAAACCTATGATGTAGACATTTTCACAATCATGGAAGAAAACATTTCGGATGACAAACTGAAGTGCTACCAATTTCCAGGTTATACCCTGTACCTTCTACCTAAATACCGGCAAGTTGCAAGTGGAATTCTAACTGGAGTAAAAGATGGCCTCACCTCACACTACGACCTAATCAAGAGTATGGGCTCGACACAAGACAAATGTGAAATAATCGGATAAAATTTTTGGAAATGTCAAAACCAATTCAAGATATATGCAGTCTATAATCCTCCCAGAATTGTCCAAACTTTGACTTTCTGAACATCTCACACAAACCTGTAGTATTAAGAGGCTTTAACGCTCATTCCACCAGATAGAGCAATGCAAATACAAAGATGGCTGGAAAGGAAATCGAAGACATGCTAAACAGCAACACTCTGGAACTTATTTACAGCAATGAGGATCCGGCCACATATTTGCACTACAATGGAACAATAATAATTCTGGACTTCCTCCTGGCTTCAACCGACATCAACGAGCATACACACCGCAAAATGATTGACGATCCTGGTTTTGGTCACAAACCACTCATTGCTAGTATTACCATCAGCAGCAAAAGCATGACATGGAAAGTGCCAACTAAGCTATCATGGAACTTCAAGAAGGCTGACTGGCATAGATTTCTAAACCTTTTAGAGAATGAACTTTACACAAGTCCCCTCAACTTTAATCATCATCCTGACAACCTTAGCAACGATATCAAACATATTNCAAACATTTTATTTGGCCCATCACAGCATATACCCGCTTTTAAGGCACAAGGATAGTACCATAGAAAAAACCGATGAGTTCACATATCTCGGAATGACATTTGACACAAAGCTAACGTGGAAAAGTCACATTGCTAAAATACCAGAACGAGGTTCTAATAGACTGAATGTACTGAAGCTTCTTGGTGGTAGCGTACGGAGCTGTGCGCGCTCAACTCTCAACACCACTTACAAGATGTTTATTCAGCCAATAATGTTGTATGTTTGGAGACCACTCATAACAGCCACAGAGGTGACTCTCAAACCCCTCGTACAGCCACAGAGTTATTGTTCTGAGCCACTCATTACAGCCACAGAGGTGACTCTCAAACGCCTCGAGAAGGCACACAACCAAGCATTACGACTAATTACTGCAAAGAAGGCACACAACCAAGCATTACGACTAATTACTTGAGGGATCAGGCACACAACCAAGCATTACGACTAATTACTGGGAGGAATAAAATCAACACCCATTGATGCAATGCTCCAAGTTACAGAAGATATAATTAACACTCACTGATGCAAAGCTCCTGGTTGCAAGACGCTCCACAATATATTCGCTTATCAAAGGGAAGTTTTTGATCCTGTATGGGAAGCTACTGCGTATTCCCATGGATAAGTTCTTCAGTACCTATGAGAATAGACCAAGACATCTGAAAACCCAATCTGGTCTATTAAAGAAAGTCATAGAAATGGAAAAAAACATTAAAATCTACGACAAACAAAAGCCTTCGTCTACCCATGAAACCATTGGCAGACACAGGTGTAGTGTTCTGTATCCAACTGCTTGACTACTTCAGGAAATTAAAAACTCCTGCAGAACAAATGTGCTCATTGGCCCTTGAGACAATCAATGTCAAATATGCTGCAGATCACTGGCTCCTAGTCTTAACTGAAGATTCTTACATTGTAAACCATAGTAAACGTTTGTTCAGGTGTCTACTCTGAACTCTTCTCTTTCTACGCAGCAGCGAGACACACTAGATCCACTTTCGAAGGGGAAATAGAGACCATTAGTATAACATTAAGCCAATTATGTTGCCTGGATACAAAATTTACCAAAGCAGTAATACTTTCGGACTCATAGTCAGCAATTAACTCAATCGTAAGCAAAGAACCACCCATTAGAGATGAGATTTACGAATTTAAAAAAAACCTCTATCCGCTGTAGAGAGAGAAAAACAAAATAGTGGTACTACAATGGATTCCTGGTCACTGTGGCATTAAAGGCAATGAGATTGCTGACGCACTTGCTAAGAAGGGGGCAACAATTTTGATAGGCATTGACCAATCGATGTCTTTTCACACAACAAAGACCTTAATCAGGAGAGAATTCATGACCACAAGGTGCAACGAACTTAAATCTCGAACAGGGGGAAACATTGGAGAGTGGCACTCTCTGACATATCAAACTGGCCAAGTATCGAAGCCCATGATGAGTTTAGACTACATACCGGACATAATTTCATGGCAAAACACCTCTACAGATTGGGAGTGTACACTCAACCAACACGCAATCTATGCAACTTAAAGGAGGAAATGGAGAAGACTCACCTGTTTCGGTGTCCTGCTTTAAAGACAACGACGAAAATCCAGAGATACTGAGAAGCAAGAGGACAGTTAATGAACTGCTATATATGTCCCCCCCCCCAGTGGAAGCTGAAGGCAAAATTTAATTGCTAATGATAAATATCATAGAGCCTGCATTTTTAAAAAATCAATGAAAAAGGAAAACCCATTTATAATTGCTACCGATATTTATTTAGTAGCATCAGTTTGGGTTTCAATGATTTCGCCTCTTAAATTGAGCAAAAATGTGAATCTTCTTCCTTCTTAAGATACAAAATTCCTGAATTTATTCTTCAGGTTGCGCAAGTACAGTTGTCAGCTTTTCCAACTATTTTCATCTTTTAAATCAAAACAGTAACTTAGAAATGTGAAATATCTTCCATTACATTCTCAGTCTGTGAATAGCATTTAATTTATTTTACTTTTAATTAAACTTGATTAGTAAAACACTTACTTGACATCATTGTTCTCTTACAATGACACTGACGCTTATTATTTTAATAATTGAAGGTCAATTTTTACCATGTGCCTATCTTGGATTGAAAGCAAAGGGATATGTACCAAGAAAGTCTGTAATATAGGAGATAAATAGATATCCTTAAAATCAAGGATTTGAGATAGACTTACCTCCACGTGTTGCACCCTGGGAAACGTATGCTTATCCGGCAAAAAGTCTATTAGCCGGCAGTTGACTTCTGACTTTAAACCACCATCAAATCACTTTATGTCAAATTCCAATTCTTCCACATTACTCAACTCACCTTTTACTTACATTTGTGTCCGTCTCTTTTACATCTTTGGAACACTCTTCTGTACCCACCCCCTCTCGACTTTTTTCTTTTTCTCTTACAATTGCGACAGAAGCTCGTCAGCCAATTCGGCTGATGCTATTAAATTAAATGAGGTATTTTTTTGCAAAGAAACAGAGCATTTTGCTTAAATTGCATTGTTTCCTTCGAAGTCAATAAAGTTACGTACTCTTCGGTTGGGTGCAACTTTAATGGTTGTTTTACAGGACAAAATCATCTAAAGTCATAAATCACGTTAAAGATTTAATAGGTCTACATATATTGTGGTGACCGAAGTCAATGTTTTCACTTCAAAAAATTCAAGTTGTCGTTTTAAACGATTTTTTAACTGGCTGCATACAACTTGTAAGCTGGGACTAGTTGAAACTCATGACCAAAACCCTTTCCAAAACCCTCTTCAAGTATTTTCAGCAAGCATGATTGGAAGGCACGGCTGTGCAACTCAGCGTGCGAATAATTGGACAAGCAGGAACCAATAAGAAGCCTCCGTTTGTACAGACTAATCCAACATTTAGATTGTGACTTAGCTCTTCCTTCGTGCACAATATACTTACTACATCATTTACGATTAGACGTGTTCTTCGCAATGCGTATGCTTTTTCTACAGCTTAAGGCAGTGCAGTTAATTTCGTCGTAATGCACAATAAGATATAAAAAAGTGTTTCATTTATGAGTAACGGTTGACTCTGTGGTTATTCAGTAATAAAGCAACTTAAGGTCACTATTTTCATCATCAGAAACTAAGAAGGTGAAATGAATTATTACTTAATTCAGTAAGGACGAAATGCATTTGCTCTTATATCATATTATTTTTTTGATCTCAGGCCCATTCATTTTTTTCTTAACTCAATTATTCATTGTACATATCTTCCCACTTACCTAGGCTGACGACTTGTTAAGAGTCTTAGTGTACGAAAGCGAATTTTCGTCCATTGTGTCTCGTGTCATCTTTGGTTCATTTTGCCACACTTTAAAGCACTCAAGTTATCAATCGCTAAACTGCCTTAGCTTCAACTACAATTGCCAACATTCAAATGCACATAAGGCGTTAACGTGGGGCAGCTCGCAAGAACACCACGTATACGCATTATTTACATTTACTTAGCAATATAGCAATTTAAGGTCACCATTTTCATCATCCAGAAACGATGTAGGAGAAATGAATTATTTCTTGATTTAGTAAAGACGAATTGTATCTGTCCTTTTTTCTCATTATTTTGTTGATCTCAGATACATTCCTTCTTTCCTTCACTCATTCCATAGGCTAATAGCTCGTTATGAGTCTCTGTGTACCATTAAATGAGTAATATTAATATTCAAGAAGTAATTTGAACCCCATTAGATCATGCTAATGAATAGAGAGTCCAGTTTTAAAAATTGTTTAAATGAGTTATTAGAATTCAGAAAGTAAACTTTGCATAATTTTTTCTTCAATTTCGTTATTTCATTTCATGTCCAAAAATTGATATCCAGTTTAAATTCATCTACCACAAGTAAATACAATAATATTTCGTTTTTATGCGCATCTTCGACAACTTTCATAAGTACAACATTAAAAATTTCAAAATATTTCTATAATTCGCCCGTATGGACAAATCAAATAATAAAATTTATGAAATTTTGAGTGAACCCATTTTTTATGGAGGTAATTTTGCACAAACAATAAGTATTAAGCAGACAATTTAGTGTTACTAATGGCATTTAAAAGGTATGTTCAACATGGTATTCCTGATTACCGTAATTACTTGAGAATCCATTGCATGATTCCAAGAAGAACTGAATAATACAAAGAATAAAACAATGTACGAAGTAATTGAAAAATAGGCAATGAATAATTGAAAGTGACTGCAAATCGAGCAACTTGCTTGTAAATAAGCATCCTGTTGTGCCTGCTGTTTGAACATAAATATACAATGCAACGATTTAATTTGAGGTCAATCTATGATTCATTTCTTGTTAAACATGTAACTAATCAATACAAAGTGAAGCATGATTGTGTATGTCTGATTTCGTGGTCAATATTTGCGCATAAGCACAACGAAAGTCCTTGACACAGGAGTGATACAAATACAGACTTACCACCACTTGTTATTGTAGAAATAAAGACGCTCTCTGAAAATGAAAATCGCAATGATTAACCAAATATTTCGTAGTTATCGAAGTTTACTCAATTGTTTTTATTTCATACCAAATATTAAATAATAATATTTTTAGGTTTCATTTTGCGACAAAAACCAGTGAGGTATCAATAAAGTAATTTTTGAAGGAAAAGTTATTTTTAATCGGCATGGTTGGTCATTCAGAATTTCATCATTATACATACGAATTAAACAATTATTTATAATTTTAAAAAAAGTATCTTTGTTCTTGATGTTACCATAATTCAAGCAAAGCGATCGATTCTTATTTAGAAGAATTTCAATTGGCGTTTTATATACCTGTCTCCAATGTTCAAATGTCTGCATATGTCAATATCAATTTTAGAGTTTGTGCATTTTCTAATCGTTGCATATGGTTTAAATATGGATCGATTTAAGTATTAATAAAATAAATCAAATTCAATGTCTTTTAGATTATTTTTTTAAGCAACTCACGTGTTGTTGTAGAAGTAGAAAAATATTCTATTTGAAATCAAAA